CTGTGCTCATTAAGAAGAATGCATGGTAATTTGTGTCAGAAGCGAATGAGAACGACACAATCGAGAGGGTCTTGTGTTTGTTCGAGTGGAGCAGTTGGCTAAATGAGATGCTGAGGGAGAGCTTTAGAGGACAATCTGAAGAACCCTGAAAGATTAAGGTTCTTCATTTAATGCTGGGAGCTTTTTTGTATGCCAGCAAATGAGCAAAGCTTTTTTTTGTAGTTTTAAGTTTGGGAATCTTTACTGTTCAAGTATTAGGGTAGTACAATACAATTGCTGTGAAAATGGCTGTTATGGGGTGTATAAAAATCCTTTGCTGCCAAAAACAGGATGTGAGCTCAGAGTGAAATTTCACACTTGATGGGGGAATATGATGGGGGTCAAGTCTTTCCTAATGAAACTTGGGGTGATTTAAGGTCCCTGTGCTCACCTAAACTGATACTCTGTGAGGAAAGCGATGTGTTGTGAGGGACTGTATTATATTATACTATTTGTCAGTAGCTCGTGCTCTGTGGATCTTACTTTTTAGGTGCACGCATCATCATGGCGTGCAGAGACCTCGAGAGGGCGGAGGAGGCACGGACGGACATTTTGGAAGACACAGGAAATGAGAACGTGGTCATCAGGAAACTTGATCTGTCTGACACCAAGTCCATTAGGGCCTTTGCTGAAGTTGTTAACAAAGGTATATGCTTTTTTTTAAATCCACTTTTCCTTTCAAGAGCATACTTGTATGCCTCTTAAGGAGTAATGGACTCTTCAAGGAAACAGGGCTCACTAATTGCAGGGCTGATGTATAAATCCCTGTTTGTTCAGCCCCTCCGCCGCCACTGCTGCAGATAATTAGAGGCATACTGTAAAAGCATTTGAATTTAAAACCAGCCGTTTTATCAGATATGAAGTGTATTCGGTACATATGAAATTTTATACCCAATCTTTATCAGTTTGTGTGGTTTTTTTTGTTTTTTTCTCCAGAGGAAAAACAAGTGAATATCCTGATAAACAACGCAGGCATTATGATGTGTCCCTACTCCAAGACAGTTGATGGGTATGAAATGCAGCTAGGTGTCAATCACTTGGGTAAGTTACTCTCAGTTTTGTATTGTTCTATTTGCATTTTTACGCCTCTTTTTTGTTTTGATATTAAGGCTCATGTTTCATATTTAGAAGCAGTCATTAAATATGTTTACACAGTTTGCTTGGCTACAACTTTTTCTGACAGCTTAGATTTGTCGGTTTACTTTAACGTGAACAGCTGACAGTCATATTGTGCCTCTGACTGAATTTATGCTAAGTTTGCCTGGTGACAGGCGTATTTTCATAGTGAAAAAGGTCATTTTAAATCTGGCATTAATAACACATCTCGCCAAGCTAGGACAATGAACTAGAGTTGCTGCTGCCAGTGTTCCCCCCTTTATTGGAGCATGGATTCTTCCTAGGTGATGTTTTTCTCCATGTTATTTTTGTCTCAGGCTGACGGAGCGGGAACACTCTGTGCTCCAGCATGGTCTCCCACACACATATGCAAACACACAGACATGTACAAATATCCAGAAATAAACCTGTGCCCTTTGGCACATTCTTTATGTGTTCAGATGCTCTTTTAAACAGTGATATTACGCAAAATGGGAATTAATGAAAAAATAGTAAAGAAAAATGCTCTTATTAAGATCAAGAAGAGTCCCTCAATGTTTTGCAAACAAAAAAAGAAAAAGAAAACGTCTTGGCATGCATTGTATTGGGTGACACACTGTTTACCACACCAGCAGGAATAATATCCTGTGATAATGTAAACTTTCTGACTTCTAACAAAGCAGAAAGCTCACAGCAAGGAAGAAGGAGTAGGAAAAAAACACGAGATTTGCTTGAGATTACGACTCCTGCGGTTGTAGAGTGCCATGTAAATTGAAAACATGAGGGTGGCCAGGTTTGGTCGTCTAAATGGAGTCAGATTTTAGATTGTTCTCAGTCAGGTGGCTGGCTTTTTTTATAAACTCCACAGGAAGAGCTACTCTATGTTGCATATGAGAAACAACCACACAAATTTCAGCAACAGGTATACAAGAAGCACAGCTAGTCACTGATATGATTGGTACAGTTTCCTTATGTGTCTTTTTTGCAAAATAGT